AATGATATAATCTTCTATCCAATTACTGATTGCCTTTTAAAAAGGTTACAGCGCATCCAGTTTGCGGCAGCCAGTTTTGTTTTTGGACGCTATGTGAACAATATTGACTCTATTCTTAAGTTAGGCTGGTTACCTATGAAAGAACGTAGAGAATGGCACGTTCTAAAGGCCGCGCACAAAGCTATATACTCTCATGATTGGCCCAGAAACCTTCAGCTTGAGCAAGTAACACATGCTAGAAATTTACGGTCATCAAGTACCATAAATCTAGTTATTCCCCACGCCTCGGACACTTTTCAGTATAGCGCGGCAGCCCTCTTCAATTCTCTGCCATCTAATGTTAAATGTTGTGATAATTTTAAATCCTTTAGTAAGCAAACATTATATATTTTAAGGGAGCGCTGCCGGAATAGGGCGGAATGATTTCTTGCCTAGTTTTAGATAATGTTTGTATATATTGTATAATTACATTTTACTGTTTATTACCTACCGTTTTATAAATTTCATAATTCAGATTTATGTTAATTTCCTCATTTTACTTTTATATCGGGCGAAGAGCCATACCATGGATGTACTGATATTAAACCGTTATTATTATTATTATTATTATTATTATTATTATTATTATTATTATTGTTGTTGTTGTTGTTGTTGTTATTATTATTATTATTATTATTATTATGTTGTTGTTGTTTACAGTATTCCTGCAACGTTTATTTACATGCTATTTACATTTGTGCACTGCAGAGGGAGCTACTATAGAGGAGTATAGAGACCTGGCTTCAGAGCTGAAAATTCTTATGCACGTTGGAGTACACACAAATATTGTAAACCTTCTCGGTGCTTGTATCAAGCGCGATGGTATCCTTGTTATTCTGGAATATGCACCACATGGAAGTTTGCTAAAGTTTTTACGAGGCAAGCGAGATGTTTATGAAGCAACCTGGTCTACGACTACCAGTGACCCAGAAATACGGTTAGATATATCAGATCTAGTGGGGTATGCCTTCCAAATATCCCGTGGAATGGAATACCTGGCGTCTAAAAAGGTAAAATACTAACGGCTTTTCTCAAACAAAATCAGACGCCCACATTTATTTAAATGTTATTTGCGAGCACTTGTTCTCTCGCCCTTTTCGTGATCTTATTCGTTAATTTGACTGACAGTCTGGGCTTGTTGTTTTGCGCCGAGGTAAATGTAATTATTCTCGCGAAGCGCAAGTACCGCGCATGGTCTTAGCGACCTGCAATATACAGCTATTTCGAGAAAGGTTGTCGGAAAAAGTACACGGGACAATCCCGAAAGGTCTTGTGGGTGGTTTTGAGTTCTCTGTTCTTCAAAGAATTTTGAAAGAATGGCGCGAAAAGCCATAAACGTATGTTGCACATGCTAAAGGAAAGCAACAAGAGAAGATTCGCCAGAGATACTGGATCATAAGTTTCTGGGAAACTACCTACCTACCCCTCCCCTAAGCCAACATTAACACTTTGTTCTCACTTAGGGCAAAATGTTGGCTTAGGGAAGGGGTAGGTGGGCAGATTCCCAGAAGCGTATTATAATGATACTCTCCAAAATTTCGTATCTAGTTGTGTGCCGCCTACGGCCGCAAACCCTGACCCTATCAAAAATTGACAGCCCGAAAAATGACGCCCCATTTAAGGGGAAAACAAAAACTAACAACTTAATGGCAACACACAAACCTTAATTAAACCGCTTTCCAAATACTCTAAGAAATAGTCCAGTTTTTAACAGATGATTTGTTTCTTGTGTAGCTGGGCAATTACTCACTTGAGTCTTAACTGATACAAATTAGGTAACCTATTTAACGTTCACATGTACACCACCTGGGACGCAATGCCAATAAGGCCAAAAAAAGATATTCTATTTATTTTAAGGATGGAGGCCTTTAAAAACCATACCCTATCTGGCGGCATGTAGCTATCTAACCTATATATGGGAGAACTCCTCCCCCGGTTTTTTGTTTTGTGGTGACAATTGAGTGTTTGAGAGGACCGTAAATGATGTAATGGACGGCCCCTTCCAAAGTCCGGGCATGCCCAGAAGGAAAATGTTTGGGGTTTAATTTTGTTGTTGTTTTCTTTCTTATTTGTTTGTTTATTTATTTACCGTTTTTCTTTTTTTGCCTGCCTGTTTGACTAGTGTATTCACCGAGATTTGGCGGCCAGAAACGTCCTCGTGGGAGAAGACTACGTTATGAAGATCGCTGACTTTGGTCTCGCGCGCGATATTTACAAGAGTGACTTGTATGTGAAGACGACAAGTGGTGTATTGCCAATCAAGTGGATGGCTCTGGAATCGTTGTTTCAGAAGGAGTACTCACAGAAGAGTGATGTGTAAGTACAAGTAACATGCCAAAAGTGTTGAAGGGGTATGTGTTTATATTGAGGCAACTAATATATTGCACCATCAAGCGTTTTTTCGGGGCGCCACGCAACTCTTTACAAGGCCTCTCTGTATTGGCTGTGAAAACAATAGACATAGAAATATAACAATGACTCTATCCCTAAAACAATGGAGCTACGTTTTATGGAGAACCAATGAAATTAGTCTGAATCTGTTTTTTCGCCCCATGTAAGGAAATTCAAGACAGTTTTGGATTCTAGATACCGGATTCTAGTTAGTGGATTCCAAGCTTTGAAGCATGGATTCATGCTTTCAATCGTTAGTGGGATTCCGGGTTCATTGAGCTATATTCCGGATACCAAAGCCCAGGATTCCAGATACCACAAGCACAAATTTCCCAGATTCTGGAATCCACCAGCAACAAATTTCTCGAATTCCGGATTCCACAAGCAACAAATTTCCCAGATTCTGGATTCCACAAGCAACAAATTTCCCGGATTCCGGATTCCACAAGCACCAAATTTCCCAGATTCCGGATTCCACAAGCAACAAATTTCCCGAATTTCAGATTCCACAAGCAACAAATTTCCCGGATTTTGGAATCCACAAGCAACAAATTTCCTGGATTCCGGATTCCACAAGCAACAAATTTCCCAGATTCTGGAATCCACAAGCAACAAATTTCCCGAATTCCGGATTCCTCAAGCAACAAATTTCCCAGATTCTGGATCCTACAAGCAACAAATTTCCCGGATTCCGGATTCTGGAATCCACAAGCAACAAATTTCCCGGATTCTGGAATCCGGAATCCGGATTCCTTACATGAGGCGAGTTTTTTAAGTTCTCAAATTTGCATTCGACTCGTGCCTATGAATCACGAAATGCACTCGCGTTCATGCGCTTTTTATAGCACGCGAGAAAGAAAAAAACTGTTGATCCTTGATTTATTTTGCATGCCTGCTTTCAGTCCGCTGTACTAGAGTTAAGAAGCGGCTTAATCATCTGTCTCTACAAGTACACAGTTTAACTTCTTATTCCCTTTCTTCTGCTTAGAGAGTTTATGTTTTAAACTTTGGGGTTTAACTTTGCAGATGGTCTTTTGGTATTTTATTGTGGGAGATCTTTACACTTGGCGGGACACCGTATCCCACCATTCCTATGGAATATCTCCTTGACTTTCTCTGTGATGGAAGGCGTATGGAAAACCCTCAAAACTGCCCCTTGGAGGTTTATAACATTATGCAGAATTGCTGGCTGGAGGATCGGGATAAGCGACCAGAATTTGCTCAGATCAGCATTTTGATTGGCAAAATACTCGAGCAACGTGCTTGCCAGGTGAGTCCTTTCAGCCCAGAAGAATGGTGAAATAATTGTGGAGTTTGTGTAGGTAATAGCATGATTTTTAGTGATATCTGGCATAAATGCCGCGAGTGATATTTCAAAATTGTTATACGAAATTTCACGAGCCGTTAGGCGAGTGAAATTTGAGACAATTTTGAAATATCACGAGTGGTATTTATGTCAAATATCACGTACAAATCATGCTATTATTTGTTTATACTACTACCCACAAAAGGTTTGTAATTTTCACATGTAGGTATTTCAAATTAAGCTGAAATACCACTGCTCTAAGATGGTTAAAGCACCAAATTTTGGCATAATGATAGTTTACGACACAGTAGACAATATTGGTTATGGACCCCTTCTAGATCTATCCCATAATTCCAAACACAGCATACTTTGGGAGAAGAACATAACCGACTTTTTGAAGGCTTTAATAACTACGGATAGCATAAAGATCTTTTCTATTACATTTTGTTCTCTAGTTACTGTTTATTGCACTTGCAAAATAGCGAAAGACGCTTTCAGAGTTGTCAGTTAACGTTACAACTTTTTACATGCAGCATTGCGCTGTAGCTCGTTTCGTTTTAAAACAGTAATTTGTCTGTAGCTGAGATGTACAATGTTGTATACCACTGAAAGACAGTGTCTTTTTACTGTAAATTAATAACGTTAATGCAGTTTAAAGACGAGTGTGAGCATGATTTTAGGTACTGAACACTTAAAACTTCAAGTGGAGTCATAAAAGTGACGTGATCATAGTGACCTCTTTTATACGTACACCTTTCTAATACGAACACTTTGTTCTGTCCCTTCGGTGTCCGTATTAGAGAGGTTCGACTGTATATAGTTTTTCGAGGGACCGCTTGTTTTACTTTCTTTAAAAGGTGGCTTACTACAATTTTCGGATACGTCATCGTACGGGATAATAAACATAGCCGTACGGGCCGGGGGGGCGAGGGGGGCTGCAGCCCCCCCAAATTTTGGGCAACTCAGTTTTTTGGGGCAGCTAGAGAAAAATTTGGGCAAAATCAGTTTTAAGACGTTTCCGTTTTTTTAAATCATTATTTTTAAATCATTATTTTTTCTATTTTAACCTGAAGTTGGCGTAATAATCTAGTACTGCTACATTCACACGAGACAGTGGTTGCCTAGCACGTAATGAGTTTCTAGTTATAAGGGAAGGGTATCATGTGGTGATTTTTTTTATTGTTGGGCACTGTACTGCAGTGGGCTATTTCCAGTCGTGAATTGATTAGAATAAACTTCCGCCTAACTTTCTAGAATCATCTCCGCCCGTAGAACAGTGTATGGCAGATAACATCAGCAATGGGTCTGAAAGTGAAGAAGTGGCTGACTAATTCTCAGTTTGAATTACCCCTAGAATCGTAATTTTTTTAAAAAAAATCTATCGAGTGGTTTAAAAATTAAATTATTCACTAATTTGTTAAAGTAGACCGAAATGTTTACAAAACCGCTAACAAGAGCGCCATGATACATACTAAATACTCGAATCCTTTTTTGGTCCGAGCTATCTCCATGATCTTTTACCCACGTTTTAAAAAGACTGATACTACTATGAGGTGAAATTGCATCGTTTTCTACAGATAACGGCCAAACATCAAGATTTTCCTTTTTTACCGTATTTCTAACGATAAAAACTTTATCCGAAAATATCTCCGCAATGCTCTTACGGATTCCGTTTTAACTTTACGAACATCGAGGCGACTATTGGAGGAAAATGCTCACGTGAACGATTTTGGAAGAACAGTTCCCAGTGAGGAATGTTGCTGCAAGTATAATTGGTAATGGCGTCATTTGGTTGCTATGACAACTCCGATATTATTGCAACCATGATCATGACAAATTTTCATCTCTAATACAACTGTGGTGGCAATGTTTATGGTGTCGTAGTCTATGCTCAAAAAAAATTCACAGGTATTGACCCTGAAAACCTGTATCGAGCCACTTTCATCTGCTAGTACGGCCTATGTTGTTGCATTGTATGGCCCTCGTTTCTGTTCGACTGTTTTGTAAAAATTTGGGCAACTTGCAAGAATTTTTTGGGCAAATGGTTTACCGCCCCCTCTGGCAAAAAATTGCCCGTACGCCTATGATAATAAAACATTACCTGAGTGTGAATAGTACAGCAAAAGTTCCTGAAATATATGCGTGGATATCGACCAGTACTCAAAATAGGCTATATTTCCGCTGCTCTCTCGGGTCAGGGCGGGCTCATTTCCCGAACAGTGGCTAGTAATCGATCTTATTGTCAGAATGGATCAGTAAATATACTAGCCTGCGAGCAAGCTGTCCGGGGCGCCCTGTCGGCGGGGCGAAGGGAAGGAGAGCTTGCAACGACGTCTCTGGAATTTGAATATCTGCATCGAAAAAGTCGAGGCGAAATGCTGATTGGCGGAGATGACATTAGTAATGACGTCATTACCCTTGGTACGTGTTTTTCAATGTTGTTTACGTTCGCTTTCGTTTCCCCTTCGCTCTGATTGGCGGAAATCTGAAAAAGCTCAGTCGACGGGGAGCCGCAGGGGAATTGGAGGTGGAATTCAAATTGCAATCTGTCCTCCCTTTACCCGCCCCGCCGCCAGGACGCCCCGAAGAGCTGCTCGCAGGCTATAAATATACGTGTTAGGGTTATCTGTGATGTACTGTTATTCTTTTGGCCTCGTCAATTTCTCAATTCTTGGTTGACTGTAGTTTGTATATCTCTAAGAAAGTCAAACCGTTTGCAGATGTTTTTACAAAGGCAGCACTTTCTTCTCAGTTCAGTTTAAAGACCCTGAGTGTTGGTTCGGCCGGGGTTTGAACCAACGGCCTCCCACTCAGCAGACCGGCGCTTATCCCATTGAGCTAGCCGGGCGGCGGTTTTTTGTATACCTCTAAGAAACTTCTATACCCTCTGTAACAATAATGTTAGGAGTAAGTAATGCGACAAAGTGGTTGCACGAACAGTTTGTGTAGGCTACCGCATACGCAAATGCACCGTTGTTCTTTTAACGGTTGTCATCTGTCGTCATTTGCCAGTGTTTAAATGCAGCGTATCAATCAGACACCTAGGGAGCTATCGGTAATTTCCTCAACATACAAAGTTTTTTTAAGAGAAAATATGGGAAGGAACGTTTGGGATTTGCTGTGTAACTCTTGTCTGCTTTATACCGCACTGAGGTATGGGTGTTATGGAAACTGGGCGTCTTTTTTTCTCAACAGAGAGTTGCATCCGGGTACATTAAGTTAACAGGAGATAACAACTATGGCAGACACGATTACTACCTTGATCCGGTTGATTCAGACTCAACAATTCCTCTGACGAGAGCAGATGTTTATGACAGGTTAGTACTTTAAGAACTTTAGATTCGAGTACGAGATTTGGCATCAAGTTTTTTCGCATAGTCGTAAAAAATGGACACCCCGGAAAGCTTCATAGTACTTTTTTGCACCAGAAAAGTTAGCACTGTTATCTGTTATTGAAAGCCTGAGGTTAAGCCCCCTCCCGGTCGCAAAATCACAAAAGCTCAAACATTTAATAGCTCGTTTCCGCCACCACGACATTCTTGCAAAAACTCGCACTAGAATGACGACGACTATCACGTTTTCCCGCCAAAATGACGCTGGTTCACGCGCGAGCATTCCTTAGTATTGAGAACATCTCGTGCTCGTAGTTGTACTCGTCTTAGAATCTAATGGTCTCTCTTCTTTCCAATGAGTATCCGGTTGTTAATTAAACTCCAGTGAGCCAAATGCGGGTTAGAAGACGGGTAGGTCGCGGAAAAGTGGGC